GCCCCCTCTCTCTCTCCCTCCCTCTCTCCCCACTCTCCCTTCCTCTCTCTCTCCCTCTCTCCCTCTCTCCTTCCCCCTCCCTCCCCCTCTCTCTCCTTTCTTCTTCCCCCTCTCTCTTACACACACACACACACACACACAATCAACAAAGCCATTAGTAATAACAAAGGCACGGAAAAAAACTGACTTATGCCCGATTTCATACTTTATGACCATTGCAGTGGTCATGGGATTCAAAACTTGGATGCTAGGCCACTGCTTCATATTTACGACGGTGGCAGTGTCCCCCTTTTGCGACCTTCGGATGAGCAAAAGTCCGTGAGGGAGCCAGATTCGCTGAACAACTCGCTTAAGGACTCTGAGGATTCGCTTAACGACGGTGGCCAGAAAGGTCGTAAAACAGAAGAGGGAATGTACTAAAAATGCACCCGCCTCGCTTAGCCACGGGAATTCTGGGCTCCACAGTGGCCGTTAAGGTGAGGACCTGCCGTTAAGGTGAGGATTTCGCACATGTTGCATTTGAGAATTCACATACGCGAAGGAAAACGAAAGGCAGGAAGAAAAATATTGGGAAAAAGGGGATTTTTACGGTATTTTAGGAAACCGAGGGTCTCAAATGAGGCAGAAGACGGGGCTCTTAGGGGTCAAAGGTCAGGCTCCCCCCCCCAAACCCTGATGCTGATTTGGGGGGGACGTTAACCAGGATAACAGCCATGGGGGGGGAGCTATGAGTCACCCCCCTCAACGCCTTCCCAGCGAGGCGGCTGGGATATTCATTATTGGCTGGCTTTTAACGATCGATTGAGGTTTAATTAACTGGCTGCGATTATTTGAGGGAATTTAAATAGTATAATTAACCTGCCGGTTTGGGGAGGGGGGTGGTGGAAATTGGGCTCTGGAAGAGACGAGAGGGAGGGCAGTCTGGAAATAGGGGAGAGGTTGGAGGGTCTCGGAAAAGGAGGGGGCGTTAACTCTTTCCCCGCCGAGTGTGTGCTTGGGGGTGTGTGGCTTCCCCCATTTTTAATTTGGAAAGTTCAGGATGGGGCTTTGATTCAGGGGCAGGAGGGGGAAGCCTCCTCAAAGCCTCCCCCTTCCTGAATTAAGCCCCCCATCCTAAACTATACCCCCTCCCCAATTAAACATGGGAAAGGGAGCAGGGAGAGGCCAAAATTAAGCAGAAAATCCCACCTCACCCACCCATTTTTTGAGGAAATTGGTTGAGCTTGTCAAGAAAGCAGAATAAGAGAGTAAGAGAATTGGAAGGNCTCTTTCTCTCTGTCTCTGTATCTCTGTATCTCTTTCTCTCTGTATCTCTCTGTGTCTCTTTCTCTGTCTCTGTATCTCTCTTTCTGTATCTCTTTCTCTCTCCTTTCTCTGTATGTCTTTCTCTCTCTCTCTCTGTACCTCTCTCTCCTTTCTCTGTCTCTCTCTCTCTCTGTCTGTCTCTCTACCTCACCCCACCCCTCTCCTCTTTCTCTCTGTATCCTTCTCTCTCTCTCACTCTCTCTCTTTGCCCCCCTCTTAATTTGGAAGAGGGGGACACCTCCTCCTCCCCCCTGACACCCCTGTTTCCCTTCCCTCCCTCCCTCCCTCCCTCTCTTTCTAATGTGCCCAGTTTGTTTTGTTCCACGGATTTATTCTCCAGGGGAAACTTTGTGAATTTCTAACAAGGGTTCGCTTTCAAAAATTGATAGTGGAGTTTAGAGAGAGGCAGAATAAAAGGAGGAGTTGCATTTCCTTTGATCATTTGGGGAGGGGGAGGAAACGGAGGAGGGGGACTGGCCCCAGATTAAGGGAGGAAAGGGGCTGAAAAAAGACCCACAATTTAAAAAAAAGGGAGGATGGGTTGAGGGAAGGGGTGATCTCCTCCCCCATCCCCACCCCCCCAAAAAACAAGGGGGTAGGGAGTTCTCCACTTATGGCATTCATTTAGCGACTGTGGAAAATCTAATTATTTATTTAGAAAATTTATAGAGCTGCTAACCTCTGGCTGGCTTACAAGGCAAGAAAACAAAAGAAAAACAAACTCATGTACTGTAGATTTTAAAAAGATTCTAAAAAGATTTAAAAAACAATAAATTGTGGGGGCTCTCTCCCCCTCCCTCCCTCCTCTCTCTCCCTCCTTCCTTCCTCCCTCCCTCTCCCTCATCCTCCCGCTCTCTCTTTCTCCCTCTCCCTCCCTCTCTCCCTCCCCCTCTCCTTCCCTCTCCCCATCCCCCGTTCCCCTCTCTTCTCTCACTCCCTCCCTCCTCTCTTCCTCCCTCTCCCTCCCCTT